AGCTATCCAACAGTTGGATAATGAAAGAATTGAGAGAGTCCTGCAACCAAGGGGGATAAAGTGGATATTCAACAGCCCAGCTGCCTCTCATCAGGGTGGGGTTTGGGAAAGGCAAATTCGCACTGCACGAAGAATCCTCAATTCCCTACTGAAAGATCAGTCAGTGAACGACGACGGTCTACATACAGTAATGTGTGAAGTCGAGAGCATAATCAACGGCAGGCCGCTCACAAGCTTTTCAGATGATGTCAATGACATAGAGCCTTTAACCCCAAACCATTTGTTGCTTCTGAAGGCTCAACCAACTCTGCCTCCAGGTGTCTTCAGCGAAGATGATGTCTACACCAGAAGAAGGTGGAAACAAGTCCAGTATCTCGCGGACTTATTCTGGGCTCGTTGGACACGCGAGTATCTTCCACTTCTGCAGGAGCGACAGAAGTGGCTGAAGCCTAGAAGAAACTTCATGGCAGGCGATGTGGTGCTTTTGGTGGACAGTTCCTCCCCTCGCAACTCCTGGGTCATGGGGAGAGTGGTTGAAACACTGCCAGACTCAGGTGGAGTAGTGAGAAGAGTGAAATTGAAGACCAGTACCAGCACGCTGGAGCGACCTGTGAACAAGCTATGCCTGCTTCAGGAAGCTACGCCAGAGGACTAACGAAGAAGACAAGTTGATATGTGGACATTCTTTGTTTAAGGATTTTGGCTCTTAGAGTTTTAAGTTTATAATTGTTTAGTTTCCTACCTAACCAATTAGGGGCCGGGTAATGTAAGAGCCAGTTAATGGAGAATTCAATTTATGATGAGTATATTTTCTAGAATGTATAACTTAGATAATTTAAAAAGGATGCTTTTATTGTGAAAAGTAATTTTGGCTTCCACTACGTAATACGTAACATTAGTACTGCCTTACGCACGTTTAAGGTCAGATTGCAGTTGGATGCGGTGGAAGCAACACAGTTTTTGACCGATCTGTACCGAGCCTTTTCATTTTTCTGTAAATGTACTTTTTTGAGTTCTTTAAGTAAACATCGTAAAAGAAGACTTGGTTTCAGTCGCGTGATTCAAATACTGGTTGTTGGACAAACTGCAAAGGTGGTACAACGAACTCTTGGGACGCAGAGTGCCACTACAAT